ATATATATATATATATGTATGTATATATGCCTAAAGATGGTCCGACAGGAAGTCAGATAATGATTCTGACGATTGGAGGAATGACCACAGATCCCCTCAAAATCCGACAATTTAGGAATTTGAAAAACTTATTTAATACATTTCAGAGTCTCAAATTAAGTTTACATAGACTTTTTCTCCCCCGACGAATTGTATTTTTTTCTCCTCGGTGCTGGTGTAGGGACGCAGCTTTCCCCGACGGAGGGGACCTGCTCCCATTGTCGCCACCACACTTTTATTTTTGTGTGTTGGACCTTGTTCATGAATTTAGACAATAATTCTAATCTTATGTAAGTAAAATTATCGATAGCCTATTATCATATTTTGTGGATGGCTAGACACATATATACATTCAATAATTAGATAAAATTAGGTTTTGGTCACGAGACATAATGCATCAACGAACCTGATCATACCATACTGTGGGCAATAATTCGTTAAGTCTACAATTCATAATGGAAGACCTAAAACAGATTATAGATCTAACGCTACATAAATCATAATTATTATCGAACCCATCTTTGTTAAAATATGTTACTATAGGCCTATGAGTAAAATAGTGCAGCGATACGTTTCCCTCTCAAACCAATTCCCCTCCCAATGGCATGGCAGTGGCGTATCTAGGGGTGCGCGGGGGTGGGGGCACGCCCCTCCAAAAATTTGTCGCCCATTCGCCCACCCCCGCCAAAAAAAAAAATCACGGTCAAGTAGTTACAAGTCAACAAAAATCATCTTATTTTGCGAATTAGCTCCCCTCAACTGATCATCGAGCCCCCCTCCCCATCAGGACCCCCATTTCAAGACTTCTAGATACGCGACTGGCATGATGACAAACAAGCTTTTATTCTACACAGATGGGGACAATTTTGTAATTTTGTTGCAGGTCTCTTTGATAAAACAGATGCGCATCCACCGCCCCACAAGTCATAATTATTATCGAAGCCATCTTTGTAAAATAGGTGCTGTTAGCTGATATTTTGAAACTATAATGAGTGAAATGATGCAGCGATACCTCCTCCTCACAAATTTCCCCTCCCCAGTACCATGACAAACAAGCTGTTTTATTAGTTTTACATATGGTAAACAACTTTGCAGGACTGTTTTGCATGCCTATTTACTATCTTTCTCAAAGTCTAATTAATGAATGTGTTTAATCATCAAGTGATTTTTTTTCAACATTGAAATGTACAAAAAAGAAAAGAAGTAATTTTTTGAGACATTTTGAGACTCAACGTTTCGATCTATTTGATCATTTTGAAGAATACTGATGAGAAAATCTCACCCATCCATATATATTTACAATACTTACAGAAGTATAACAAAAGTAAATAAAAACCGACTAATCACTTTAAAAGGAACACTTGATTAATTAGTTTAATCCAATATATAATTCTTTTGTTGGTGTCCCCCATCTTGTTCTTAAGTAATGACAATTTGCTTAAATAGGGAGGTGTATGATGGTCTTTGGACTCTAAATTGATAGCCTATGTCAATTCTTGATAACGGACCGATCTATTAGTGTTTAATTATTAACGATTAACATTATAACCGCCGGCAATTGATAATAACCTTTGTTCGATAATATGCTCAAACACAAGAGTAGAAGATACCTTATATTTTTCAATTAGTGATTAAAGTAGGCCTACTGCGTAATTATAGGCAAATGGACTTTTTAATGACAGGGTAGGGGTTAAAAATGGAATAAAAAGCTGTTGTAGGTTTATTGCACTATTAATAAAGGATTCTTTTGTACTGTGGAAAGTAGTTTGGCGCAGCGAGAGAACGGTTCGGGTTTCCCAACCTTGACGTCGGGAGTTCAATCCCTCATCCCTCGCGGTGCATTTCACTTGTGTCCTTGGGAAAGGCACTTTTGCTTCTCTCCACACAGGAGTATAAGTGGGTACCTGGTAGGTTTAAATGCCAAAATGCGCTGATGTAGCAAATGCAAGGTTGGAATACTACCCCAGGGAGCTTGGGTTTGTGTTCCATAGGTGTTTAATCCAATGACCGTGGTAATGATAATGTGAAGCGCATAGAGGGCTTAGCAATATGCGCTATATTTATTATTATCATTATTATTATGATTATTATTATTATTATTAATATTACTGCTGTCAAAGTAAAGCCAATGCGTTAGGTTTTTTTTCTCGATAACTCATAATCTGCGTCCTTCGCACAAGATTGAACAAAAGCCATGTGGGATTGACTCTAATTATAATTTTTTTATTATGAAAAATATAATCAATAATGAAAATAGCAGTTACAATTCGCTCTGTTGCCCGTGCTCTCAGATTATCACATGATGAGTAACCAATTGCCATTATTATGTCACCCGTTTGTTTGACAACACAAAATGTTATTATTATTATTATTATTATTATTATTATTAATATTATTATTATTATTATTATTATTATTATTATTATTATTATTATTATTACTGCTGTCAAAGTAAAGCCTATTCGCAACCAGTAAAGCTACTCAGGAGTAAAGGATAACATGGTTCCGATTAAGAAGTGAAAAGATCTTGTAGATTGTCAATGCGTTAGGTTTTTTTCTCGATAACTCATAATATGCGTCCCTCGCACAAGATTGAACAAAAGCCATGTGGGATGGACTCTAATTATAATTTCGTTATTATGAAAAATATAATCAATAATGAAAATAGCAGTTACAATTCGCTCTGTTGCCCGTGCTCTCAGATTATCACATGATGAGTAACCAATTGCCATTATTATGTCACCCGTTTGTTTGACAACACAACACTTGCCCATCTTGTCAATTAAAAGAATCAGTCATTGTCATCTCGATCCCGACATACTTGTCATCAAAAAACCCACGTTCCATTTTCAGGAAAAGAATTCGGTAATCTGTTCAATAATCCAGTTACTTATCAAACCAATTAAATTCAACAGCTGCTTAAACTACAGCCCCAGATTTCAACCGGGCTGTATTCTTCAAAATGAATGCCCTTCATTTTCCAGCAAAAAAATAGGGTGTGTCCGTCGGTCTGAAGCTTGTCATTAATGAATCATAACATCTTGGTACTTGTCTTGAATTTAATCACGTTTTGATTGATGTCACTGTGGAAGTTTCTTATGTTTCTAGGCTTACTGGCACCGGGATGGGGTGTATTGTCCTGTACAAGAAAAATCACTGGGTCATGAGATGATTTAGGCCAACTGATGTCCTCTCTTCAACATGCTCTATCTTGTTCCATTTCTCGCTTCAGACATTTCAATTATTGTTATTTCATATGTAACTGATTTTTTTTATTTCCATATCGCATAAAGAGCGAAGATTAAATTATTTATTAATAGATTATAAAAATACTGATAAGATTAATAATAATTGTTATTATATTGTATTATGATTGCATATTATTACAGTTGAACTTGCCTAAGTTGAATCCAAAAAATTCCATTTAAATATTGTTCGACTTAGATAAAATTCGACTTACAGATCGTTAATTAATGGAAAACACAACAATTTGGTATGTCAAATAAAATTGACTTGATGATTTAGGCCAACTGATGTCCTCTCTTTAACATGCTCTATCTTGTTACATTTCTCGCTTCAGACATTTCAATTATTGTTATTTCATATGTAACTGATTTTTTTTATTACCATATCGCATACAGAACGAAGATTAAATTATTTATTAATGTATTTATTAATAGATTATATAAATACTGCTAAGATTAATAATAATTGTTATTATATTGTATTATGATTGCATATTATTACAGTTGAACTTGCCTAAGTTGAATCCAAAAATGCCATTTAAATATTGTTCGACTTAGATAATATTTGACTTACAGATCGTTAATTAATGGAAAACACAACAATTTGGTATGTCAAATAAAATGGACTTAAAAATTATTCGAGTTAGGCAAAGTGGACTTAGGCAAGTTTAACTTATTTGTATTAAGCCTATTATTATAAATATTATTAATATAATTATTATTAATATTATTATTACTGTTATTTTATTATTGTTATTATATTATTAATGTTAGTGTAAGTATTATTATTAATAATATTTATTTAACATTATCGTACTAATCTTTATAACAATATTCATTGTCATTATTAATATTATTATTATTATTATTATTATTATTATTATTAGTTGCTGTTAACTTTGTTTTAAATTAATTTTCAAATTCTCAGCGGATTTTGAGTGACTTATGTACCTTACCATTTTTATAGGTGCATTTTCTGTAAGTTTAACCATCACCCCAGGATTTTCCACTGTAGAACCAGGTAGGAAAGTATTAAGATTACTATCATTATCATAAATCAATATCATCATCTTAATTATATTATATTATATTAAGCATAGGGCCTATCCTTTCAATTATATTTGTAATAAATGTAATTTTAATCTCTCTTTTTAGAGTGGTATAGCTTATGAAGTATTGCGATTATCATTGTTGTCCTTATCATTAATAATAATAATAATAATACTATCATTATTATTAGTATTATCATCTTTAATACTAATGTCAATTGTATCATATTTTATTATATTAAACATATTATATTTAATTTTCTATTATATTTGTAGTGAGTGTGATGTTAATCTCTCTTTTATGATATCTTATATGATACTTCGAGCTCCGCTTTTGCTGCATTTATATAATGTATATAATCATGGTGGAAAAACAATAAACTAAAATAATTCATTCTATCGTAGAGAAAGAAACTTTTTTTTTTTAATTACGCAGTTCAATTTTTTAATAATTCTTTAATATCCTAAATAATTTGCTGATATATCTTCTTTTTAACATTTTCAGTGACAACAGATGTACCACAAACAGTTCGACCAATTACTCCTCCCCCTCCACCCTCTCCACCACCGGCACCTCCGGCTTCTCTTTTCACATCTGTAAACGGCTCAACTGTTGCGCCACCAACGAGTATGACGCCTGTCAGAACAACGATCATTGCGCCGACAATAACTATCACTAGCCTGGTTCCAAATTCACCAAGTTCTGCGGCTCCATCAGTTTCCACGGTTACTAAACCCTCTCCAGTTGCTACAACCCCAGGAGGTGAGCTTCAAATCCGCTTATAGCAACTAAATTTCACTCTGTTTTGTATATGCGCGAAACATCACTAGTTCTTAACCGCACTACGTTTGAACGAAGATATCAATTAGGAAGCCCTCACCATAGAGCAGTTAAAACAGACATGTTATCTGAAGAAATACCATTAAAAATAATGTAATAAATATTAGGCCTATTTGAAAGGTAAATAATTTTTTTTTAATCTGACAAAGAATGTCAAATAAAACCCCTCATACAGGTGAACGTCATCCACTTGATCAAAGGCATTGGCAGTGAATCCGCTCACCAGTAGGTCTAGAACCTGAATTTATATGATAATGTAATTATGTAATTGGTGTTTCACACTGTTAGATGCAATAAAGGAATAAAAAAATATGTAATGTATTGTTAATGATGCACCAGAGAGCGCCTTTCGATCTGGAAGCTTTCGTAAACTTTTGCAAATTGCTTTCAACCAATATTCTAAAATCCTATTTTGAAATTAGTGCCGTGAGCGTACTTTTTCTATCATACTGATTGTGCGCTATATAAGTGTTCATATTATTATTATTATTATTATTATTATTATTATTATTATTATTATTATTATTATTATTATTATTATTAGGGTATTATTATTAATATTATTGTGAATTTGTGTGATCGTTTTAGATGGTGATGAATGTAAGAAAGGAAATGACTGCGAGCAAGTTTGTGTGAATACGCCTGACGGTCATGAATGTCAATGCTTGGAAGGATACATGCTGTGGAGGGACAAGACCAGCTGCCAAGGTCAGTTCATGTTCTAAACTATATCAAATAGATGCTTTATTTATTATTATTTACTTGGTATAATATGAAATCATCGTATTGTCATTGTTACATGTATTCCATTCCTTTAAAAGTAGGCATCCCGCTGTTGGATGGTAATTGAAATAAAATAAAATATATACAAACAGCAGCCAAGGCGTAAATGAATGCATTTACATAAAGCATATCAAAATATAAAAAAATATTACATACAAAATCTAAAAATTGCAATAAGAATTGACAAAATATTAAGAATACAAAAAAAGACATCGCATTGAAAATTACTAAATTTAATTAAAACACTTACAATTTCATTGACATCTAATCACGATACAATATGAAAATATGAAATTTGAATTAATATTCTAACATTACCTAATAAAAATATTAATCAAATTAGGAGCATAAAAATATTGCACATAAATAATAGACAGAAAAAATGTAATGTTTATGTGACGTATATTTTTGTCAAGATCATAGCACAATTTACTTTAATTTTAATAGGTTATAGGTATGAAATAAATATCTACGATTAAAGACAATCAGAAATTGCAAACAAAATAAATATATGATGTAAAATTTTATCAATTCTATTCTAGTAAAGAAGCGTCATTGCTAAACACATTTACTTTTCTTAAAGATTTACGTTTCTTGTATCATGCATATGTTTAAAATTGTTTAATTTTTACTGATATTCAGATAGTCCTATGTTAAAATACATTTCATTTTTAAAAGTACTTTCACTAGTCGAAACTTTATATATTTCAGATATTGATGAGTGTAATTCAATCTATAATGATTGCCCGGTGAACACAAAATGTGTTAATTCTGTCGGTACATACACTTGCGAATGCATTGAGGGGTATAAAAAGAACAATGACGGGGACTGTGTCGGTAGGATTTTTTACATTTATGTTTAATTATTATAGATGATCACAATAATATAATGATGAGGATGTTGTTGTTCTTGTTAATGAAGTTGATTACGATGATGAAGATTATGGTGATCATTATGGTTATGATGATGATGATGATGATCATAATGATAATAAAGATGATGATGACGATAATCAGGACGTGACGATGATGATAATGAATCTGATTATTATGTTGATGAATTAAATATCTACAATGATAATAATGATGATATTGGTAAAGATATTAATGATAACGATAATGTTGACAATGATTAAAAAAAATATGGACGATGATTACAATAATGATAATTATTATGTTGCTGTTGATTATGGTGGTTGTGATGATGATGATAATGATGATGAGATGACGATAATAATGACGATGATGGTGATGATAATGATGATGGTGGAGTTACTGATGATAATGATGATGAAAATGGTGATAAAGATGATGATGATGATGATGGTGATAATAATGATGATGATGATGATGATGATGCTGATGATGACAACAATGATGATGTTTGATGCTGATGACAATGTTGAAAAAATTATATTCTGCACATTTGATATATTCAAAACAAGCAATCATTTTTTAGATGTTGATGAATGTTCAGAAGTATCTAGACCATGTCCTTCAAATTCTGTTTGTGAAAATACTGAGGGTTCCTACATCTGTAATTGCGATGATGGTTATTTTCAGAATGGTGGCAGTTGTACAGGTATGTAAATGTGAAAATCATTCAAATTTTATTTTGTTAAATTAATAATTCATTTTAATTTTAATCATATTTAACTTATCCGTCCGTTTACTTTCACATTTAATTCTATATTATTTTAATCATTTATTTATTGATCCATTCGTTCCTTCATTTATTCAATCATTTATTAAATTTATTAGGTTATTCATTCTGTGTTTGATAATATATTCATTCATTTAGTAATTTGCGTTCGTTCGTTTATTCGTTAGTCGATCATTCATCCTTCGTTTCTTCTTTCATTCGTTAGTCATTTCGTTTGTTCGTTGATTCACTTTGTTCCGCCTATTCTTTTCATTCCTGATATCTCTTAATAGTTTTCTTGAGGTTTAATTTCTGTTTAATAATTTTAGGCCTCAATTTTCATTTGTTGAAGCGGACACCCAAATGTTACTGCCACATGGTCTCCCCCAATTAAAGACCATTTCTGGGACCCAGGTTTCCATAGTCTGTGTGGTTTGACGCAGCGGGAACGGTTTGGTTTCTCAACATCGAGGTCGGGGTTTCAAATTCTCACACATGTGCATTTCGCTTGTCTGCATTGCTTCTCTCCACGCAAGAGTATAAATGGGAACTTTTTAGGGGCCTGCCTGCTTGCTACCAGCAACATTGTCCCAATAACACTAGAAAAAAAATGCGCTTTATAACCTCTAGGATGATACACACTCAATTCTCATGAAGGCAAGACCTTAAGGAAGAGGCGCATTATAAATGCCTATAGTACCAGGTCTTTAGCAGCTTCGATCTCTAATTAGAATAATAAATTTAAAATACATTTGTTAATTTGGGACCACCGAAAAGCGGTCTTTAAGGCCCAATAACAAAATTATTGGTTTATTATCTTCGCGCGCGTATGCCTTTTATGGTAGGCCTATTGAAAAAAAATATATTAAAAAATAAAAATGTTTAGAAAAAAAATTAATTGGTTTTGTTTTGGAAAAAATATTATTTTTTTCATTTTATTAGTAAGATATTGTTTGTATTATCTTAGTCATGTTTTACTTTGAATATCAATGCTTCAGCAAACAAGGGTAATATTTAGCAATAAAAAATAAAAATGAAAGCCTCCCTCCTTCATCACTTTTCTAGCCTAGATAGGGAGATAAACTAATACTTGTTTTATAAGGCCAATTAGTGGTGGTCTTTAATTGGAGGCGTTTTTAACTGGAGGGAGACCATCTGTACTTACTTCAACATGCTCTATTAACAATAATTAATTCATTTTAAATCCATCCGCCTATTGTATTTATTTTGCCACCAATTATTAGAATTTTATAATCTAAAAAATAAATAAATAAATGAAACCAAATAATTTACTACCTCATTTTAATATTAATTTTATTTTTATTTTAAAAAATCCTTGTATTTATTGTTTAAAAATCATTTGGCGGTTGCGATCACATTGGTTGTGCAAATAAAATAAACTTACGTCAATAATGTACAGAAATTACAATATTTTGTTCTTAAGATATTGATTATTGTGAGATGGGAAACGACTGTGAGCAAATATGTAGAGATGGCACGTCATCCTTCACATGTGACTGTTACGCAGGATATACACTCAATTCTGACGGCAAGACTTGTAAAGGTTTGTTGAAGATGTACATTTGCAAGTGACAGAGGTACATCAGTGGCGGCACGATCGGAGAGTTAGGGGGTTCTTCCCCCCACCGCACCATCATCAGACAGGCCTGGACCCCCGTCATCAATGTGCCGATCCAAAGAACGTTATTTCAGCTGTCCATACCCAAAATAGTGGTCTAACATTTGTGTTCATACTAAGCCAGAAGACCTCTCCCATTAATAATCGCTACCAGTATTCTCGGTACCATACCGACCGTCAGAGGCTGTAGTCGGTGCCTTAGTTCGTACCGCGTGTCAGCGTTGATGGATCCCCTTTTCGGTAAATTTCTTTAGCCCCAATGGGTACATGGTGTTGTTGATTATAATAACACTGACAGTAATAATAGATGTAAAGTGCTACATTTCGGAGCCGGTGAAATAATATTGATAATGATAATATTTATTATGATAATAATGATAACTATACTACTACCAGTACTAGAAATAATAAATGGTGATAATGATAATAATTACAACAAAAATAACAATAGCTACTACTACAACAATTATTATTATTATTATTATTATTATTATTATTATTATTATTATTATTATTATTATTATTATTATTATTATTGTTATTATTATTATTATTATTATTAATCATATTATTATTAATTGATTAAATTATATTATTGATACTGATAGTATTAGTAATAATGATAATGAGAATAATAAGGATAGCAATAACGATAATATATTTTTTTACAAAATTTTGTAATAATTATTTTGGAAACCAATGATATTACTTGATATAATGACAAAGATGATGATGGTGATAATGTATTATTATTATTATTAATATTATTATTAATAATAATAATAATAATAATTATTATTATTATTATTATTTATGTTATTATTTTTATTATTACTATTATTATTATTATTATTATTATTATTATTACTATTATTATTATTATTATTATTATTATTTATTAGTATTATTATTCGTTTGAAGATGATGGAGAAGACTGTTCACTCACATGCATTAATGGGTATTGCGTAGCTGGACGCTTTGGAGACAGCTGCAGGTGTTCACCTGGCTATGAAATGAAGGATGATAACGGTACCATTTCGTGTGTAGGTAAGGAACTAAAAACAATAACACGAATTTTACCTAGAAATTTAAAAGTGACCAGCCATTATACACATTCCTTCTTTGGGACACGGCCCTTAAAACAACACTTTTTCGGCCACGAAACGAGGAAAATAACACTAAGACCAACCATGGACCAACATTTTTGGTTTTTGGACCCAAAGATGCGTCTCATGAACTACGGTAGTTCAAGAGGCATGTAGGTAGGCATGTTCAGTCTCTGACCAACCTCAATGTTCAAAAATGGTTTCGTGTTTGGTGATAATACGTTAAGAACTTGGGTCATCTTTTTACCATTTTCACGATAGTACAAAACATAGGCCAGCTACGTTAGGGGCTGAAGTAAACATGTCTCTTTATGAAAATGACAACCAAAAAGGTGTTTTTAACGTGAAAACAGACATCATTGTATTGTGCTCTTTTCTCCATACCATGATTGATGAAATTGTATAGAGAACTTTCAATGTTGATATATTTAGTAATCAATTTCAATCCCTCTATTCAATGTATTTATATGTTTTTTATTGCATGTGTATATATACTGTCTCTTATACACATCTAGAGGTTTTGGTTTGAATATTAGGATGGTCAGACTATGTGTGTTCTATGAAAACCACCTTTATTTTATTATTAAAAGATAATTTATTATCATTATCTATTTTTGCACACTATTTATGTGTTTTTATGTACATTTATTGAATTCTTATAAAGAATCAAGTTGTTTTCTTAGAAATAATGTGATTGAACGAATTAAAAAAAAGATTCTATTTAATCAATCTTAGTCAGTCAATCAATTAATCAGCCAATCCATCCATCAATCATTCAATTGTTTAATTAATCATCTGTCAATCATTTATCTATATTCATGTTTTATTGTTGTTATTTTTAACTGGCATTTTGTAGGAAGTTCACTGACATAGATATTTGTATTTGCCATTCTTATTGATTGATTTTTTATTGTACTTTGTATTATCTTTGTAAAAATAAATTTTAATTATTCAGCGCTTTTATCTTTTGTGTAAAGGCGCTATATAAATGCTTTTTTAGTAATAATGATGATGATTATGATGATAATAATAATAATAATAATAATAATAATAATAATAATAATAATAATAATAATAATAATAATAATAATAATAATAATAATAATAATAATAATAATAATAATAATAATAATAATAATACCACCTTTTCATTTTGGTTTTCTGATTGATATTCTTTTTGTAGACATCAATGAATGTATTCCTACCACGCTACCAGAAATTCCTTTCAGAAAATGTAAAAGTTTATGTGAAAATTTTGATGGATCTTATAAATGCAGTTGTTTCAATGGACAAATCCAAGCGCCAGATGAACGTACATGTATTGGTAAGTAAATGATAAAAACACCCATATTTGAAAATTGATGGACCTTTCCAGATGTCAATCAGTTAGTAACGAACCAATCAGAACGGGGCCACATTTACGCGTTTTCTCCATAAACATGTTTACGTTTTCGTCTTTAGGAACTTAGCATCAATATCTATTTTGTACCACTTAAATTAAAGGACCGATATATTTGTAAAAATACACACATTAATGGTAATATTAGTTTTCAAATAAAATTACCTAATTTTCTATACTGTAGAGCCCTTAGATACTTTTGCTCGGCCTAAATTTTCTGGATTTCGCAAAATAAAGTATTTCGCAGCCTCGTTTTTAGTTAACATGATCTTTTTTATTAGGCCTTTTTTTCTTAGAAATAGATTATTGCTATTCGTTGTAATAAACGTGTTTTATTGACTTTTTCTTATTACTGATTTTACTTCAAGAATTTTCGATCATTCCCAACGGTATGTACCGATATTTTATAATAATTCATTGCACTGTATATGTTTTAAATCTCTGCACGCGGCGTGTTTTTTTAACAAATAAATGAAATAAAATAACTGAATGCACATGTTTTCCTATCAGATATCGACGAATGCGCAGACGACGCGTTGAATGACTGCGCACCCCCATCGGAAGGCGGTAATTGTACTAATCTTGAAGGCGTGCGGAAATACACATGCTCTTGTATGCAAAATTACCAAGGCAACGGTAGAACATGTGAAGGTATGATTATTTATCACTTATTTTTTAATTTTTATCATCGATTTGTTATGGACAATAATGTAAAATAACTGATAATGAATATATCACGATGGCTTGCACAGAATACAGTACTAGAGTTATTTGGAGTTTGTTTCATATAAATTCGTTTTTTATTCTGATAAAACATTAAACAAAAATAGCGAATCACCATCTTTGAGGATGAGAGCTGCGCTACTATTGCGCAGGTATACGGTTAGAGCTGATACTTTATAGCAGATATAGCATGGTTTTGTCATGAGCAAAGTATTGCGCTGTGGGCAACAGTTGTCAACTAGGTAACAAATTTTCTTTGCGTCAACTTATTATTTTGCTAAACGTTTTGTTAATTTTCATATATATGCCTTTGTCTGTATTCATTTTGTATACAAAAGGAAAGAATTTCAATACACCTTGGTATTCTGCTGACAATAATGACATCGCAAATCACGAGAAACCTATTTATTATTTTTAGTCATGGATACATGTTCGAAAATTCCATGTGAAGGGGAGAACTTTATCTGTGAGAATTATCCTGGTGGCCGTAGGTGTCTCTGTGAGCCAGGTTTCTATATATCTGAAGATGGCATTGCCTGCAAAAAAGGTAAGTGGTTATTTAAAGCAGTTAATTGATCAATTATTCCTTCAATCAATCAATCAATCAATCAATCAATCAATCAATTAATCAACCAAATTAATTAATCACACAATAAGTTAATCAATTAGTCAATCGATCAATTAATATATCAATTAGGCCTACTTATTATTTGTCTCTTATACACATCT